ACGAAGGCTTGGAGATCCACCAGAGTCCAGCGGGTCTGGGGTGTCGGAACAGCAGCACCGGGCCACACTGGGGGGAGGAAATGGGAAGCGGATGCTAAGTCCGCCCTCCCAAACTCCTGGGAACCCAAACTGGGGCAGCGACCTAGTAGCACCGCTGCATCCACACTCCCCCAACCACCGGCGATCGGGCTAACACTACGCTTAATGGGGCTGTGGCCCCGCCTTCCTTTCTGGGGTTTGACCAGGCAACGCAGCGCCGAATGGGGGAGGGGGGTAGGAGGGAAAAGGCCTCCTCACCCTCGACTTAGAAATGCCTTCCCCCCCTCACCTGCATAGCTCACTGTCAAGTTGTACCCATAAACATCACTGCATCCTGTTGTGCCAATCAAAGTCCACCTGAGGGCGGGATGAAGCAGGAAGCGAGCCGTTTCCCCCTGAAGCACACAGCTGACATGCAGTGGATGGGACTTCCCCGGGGCTGAAGCTCAGATGATCGGCTGTTCACATGGCCACACTTGTTTATCTCTAATCTTTTCCTCAGTGGCGTTGTGATTGTGATTGGCCAGTGGGTTATACGATTGAGCAGTAACGATGAGAACGAAGGTTCAACGGGATTCTTAAGGCTACATGAATACCCACCTGAACCTGAACCGGAGGTGGAAACAATAATCAAACTGTACTTTGATTGATAAACAGTAAATACTTTTACACGTCTCAGAATAAAAGATTAAGTGGAGTTGTTTTCTCAGGAAGGTTCTTTGTGCTTTTGTGGATAAAAGTGAACCGTCCTGTCATGTTAAGTAGTTTTGGATGGCTCACTTGTGTGCTTAGAATGGACGTTTAAAGGTGAATTCACTTGACGAGGGAACACCCCCGTCTGATTCTTTTTCTTCAGTGTGCTTCTTTAGTCTGTGTTGAGCTGTATAACGATGTTCAGTCCTTCTGTAGCCTCAACCGTAGGAGTAGATTTCGGCCTTCTTTGACTTGCCTGTCAGAAGCTGTTGCTCGCCTCATACATATTCACTCCCCAACCGTAATGCTTGCATTTTATTAATCTTGACCTTCTAGTTTTACATTTTTAGTAGGAGAAATTACGTTTTTGGTGTTGGTGCAAAATGTTTATTCTTAAAGCTTTTATTGGATTTTGTTATGCCAAATAAACATGGAACTGAGATGGTTTGAGTGTTTTATTTAACAATGATACTCTTTAGATCAACTTCAAATATAAGCTGCATGCACACCAGCAGAACCATGTACAAGCATACATCTGCAGTCTCTATCATGCATCTGGATTAGGGCTGGGTATTGGTACTCTATACCTTAAGGTTGACCGTAGACCCATCCTGTTGAGGTGGAGCTGTAAAACCAAACCCTGAGCAACACAGTTTTTGGCAACCAAAATGTTACAATTACCTTTCATGGACTCCAAATACACTGAACAGGTTTAAGTTCTAACAGAGAAAGGGAAACTCTCAGACCGGACTACACTGTCATATTAACCTGTCAGTCACAGAGTAGCCACCATCAGAGCATTCCCTGCTTTATCTGTTTGTTTCTAAATGGACCATAAGTTACTAAATGACCATCGTGCTGTATTGAAGAGGTGAAACGAGCGATTGAGACCAAAATTCATGCCTACAATGTTCATTAAATCAAGTGAGATGTAGGCTCATTTTCTCATAGACTTGTATACTATCAGACGAGTCGCCCCCTGATGGACAGTAGAGAGAATACAAGTTTACAGCATTGTCGATACCGGAGGATGATGCTTGGTATTGACCGAAATAACTAAATAGCAGTGGTGGGCCGTCAGGGCCTGCAAGGCCTTCTCTGCTGGCCTAAACAGAATCACAAAGTTATAGCTATTTTATAATTTAATAATTGTTCTTAAATACACTACATGTATTATAATTTATAAACATATTTTTCCCATTATCTTATTTTCTCATTGCCCAGCTACTGTCTTCCTCAGTTGCTCTGCTTCCAGTGCAGCTTGTTTTAAGTAGAGCTTTTATCCAATCAGGTTTCACCTCTGTGTCCCTAGAAGAGAGGCCTGCAGACTCACAAGTGAATCCCTTTGCACTTTAAGTGAATGGGGACGATATTGTTGATTGTCATAGTGTTCAACCAATCAGATCTTTAGTTTGACGTGTCAGAGCCTGCTAGCTGGCCTACAAGTACGTCAGCATTACGTGCAGCTCAGTTTCCAGGTGCTGCAGTGAGGTGCAGAGTCCGCTGTGATTGGTCAGTGGGCGAGCACGTGACTATCGTGAAACGATCACGTGATGCAGCTCAGCCAATCAAATATGGGTATTCTGACAAGTTTCCTGACTCCAGTTAGATGTACACACACCATGACACGGGGCTGAGACGAGAAAAGAGGAAGCAGAGCAATTTGTTTCCCATATCAGTTGTGAAAGTAAAATCATAAAACGGACTTCAATAGAGAAGAATGGGTCACGGCTTGTCATTAAGGGGTGTTGGTGGACCCCGCAGCCAGACCAGTTGAGAACCACTGTCCTACCTGAGCGCAGAAAACAATATATTTCCCTCAATTTAAGCTTCTGCATTTTCCAAATGCACTAGTATTATTCAAACGTATTGTTCGGTTCGTAAGCCTCGTACCGAACGGTTTAATACGAATACGTAAATAGTTACAGTCCTAGAAATGAATAATAATGTAGCTATGGCGCCATCATGTGGATATAAGGTGGTATTTCAGCTGCAGGACAGCAGTGAAGGCCCAGGTATAAAATGCACGGCCCGCCACTGATAAATAGAATACTTCAGATAAGACAAATGGTTACTGGGCTAAAAGGTATCAATGGAAGTACTCTGTCGCTAACACTTTAAGGATATTGGTACTCGCAATGTAATTTTTAAATGATACCATCCCTATGCTTGATATTTCAATTAAGTTTAAACAATTTCTGAGAATCATTTTTGGATGATTGTAGGGAATATATGGTTATTGTCAGGTTAATATATTTTGAGTTTCTCCTAGAACATGTTTACATACTTTGACGTTCAAAAACATTTTTTGTCCTACTACCTGTCTGAATAAATCTGTATTCAGACTCCATCTGAAACGTTCACTTTTAGTGATTGTCTCTTTAAGCCCCCCTCCCAAAAAAGCTCAGTCTTCACTGATTGGCTTACGAGAAAAGTATGGCGCACTTTTGCAGAGTCAGTTATCAAGCAGTGGGCAGTATATTCTAATGAGCCTTCCTATGACATTGCAAGGGGAGCCAAATCTGAATGGCTTGTTTAATCACATGTTCTCTTTGGCAGCCCACTTCTGGAGCCAGACCTGGGAGGGGAGCTCGCTGGCGAGTGCCAAAAATGTTTCATTGAGCTGGTGCCCTGTGGGCCCACCATTCTCATGGAGAGGCATTGGGGTCAGGTGCAATGTTCGCCGGGCTGCAGGCAACGGCGGGGTGCTATGCGTGCCGACCCCTGGCATCGCAGACTGGCTCTAGGAACGTGGAATGTCACCTCTCTGGCCGGGAAGGAACCGGTGTGGGAGGTGAAGCGGTACCAACTGGATATAATTTGACTCACCTCCAAACATAGCCCTGGTTCTGGAACCAAACTCCTAGAGAGGGGCCTGGACTCTATCCTTTTCCGGAGTTGCCCAAGGTGAGAGGCGCTGGGTGGGTGATGGGATATTCATGAGCCCCCATCTGAGCGCTGCTGTGTTAGAGTTTTCCATCGGGAACGAGAGGGTAGCCTCTATGCAACTGCAAGTCACTTTGTGCTTATGCACCAAACTTCAGAGTACCCGGCCTTCTTGGTGTCTCTGGGTGGCGTTCTGTAAATGACGCCAACTGGGGACTCTATATTTCTGCCGGGTGACTTCAACGCTCATGTGGGTAACAATGGACAAACATGTAGAGGGTTTATTGGGAGGAACGGCCTGCCTGATCAGAACCCAAGTGATGCTTTGTTATTGGATTTTTGTGCTAGACATGGATTGGCCATAACAAACACCATGTTGGACTATTCAAAAGCGGTTCTAAAGTGGACTTGGTATCAGAACACCTCAGGCCAAAGATCTATGATCGACTTTGTGGTCGTCTTGGACACTGCGGTGAAGAGAGGAGCAGAGGTGTCACCTGATCACCGCCTGGTGGTGAGTTGGATCAGATAATGGTGGAGGCTGCTGGACAGATCTGGTAAAAAGGGAAAGCAGGGCTTAATTCAGGCTGTATTCAGAAGAGGCAAACTGTTGACCCAAACTGGGGATTCTGTCATCCCTATGCCTGGCAGACGTTGCTGAGGTAGTCAAAAGGCTCATCGGCGGCAAGGCGCCAGGGATGGATGAGATTCACCCTGAGAGAAAGCTCTGGGTCCTGGGGGATGGCCCATCCAGTCTGCATGTGTTTTGTGGCTTTGGAGAAGGCCTATGGCCGTGCCCCTTGGGGAGTTCTTTGGGGTCTACTGCGGGAATACAGGGTATCAGGGTCGTTGCTACGAGCCATCCAGTCCATCATGTATGACCAAAGTGAGAGCTGTGTCTGTCTGCTCATCATAAAGTCAAACAGGTTTCTCTTCCGGAAAATGGTGGATTGCACCCTCCAGTTTGGGAGTGAGTCACTGCCCCAAGCAAGGAAGTTCAACTATCTTGATGTTGTTTAAGAGTGAAGGTAAAATGGAGCGTGAGATGGACAGGTGGTTCAGTGCTGAGATGGGATGAGGAAGCTCGGAGTAGAGCTGACCCTGCTCACCCTGCTGCCTCTGCTCTGGCCCCGGGTAAGCAGAAGACAATGGATTGATGGCATTGTGGTTTACAGTGAACATGTAACTGAATCTGATAAATGTATGCACAGTTAGGGTGGTATAGTTGTATAACATTATACGTGCTGCATAATGCTGCATCTTAACGTAGCTGAATATTATTTATTATATTTTTTAGAGCTTTTAGAAAGTTTGCAAATAAAAGTATAAAATGATATAAAGTTATTATTATTGCGAATGAACTGATATGGCCTCTTTCTAATTGTCTGTTGTGTTAGATTAAATTGTGTCTACATACAGAGGATTCACAGTTCACCGGTCAGCACTATCTCACAACCTAGTAACAGTCCAAACGCACACATTATAAAAAGGTCCAGGTGGCTCAGAGTCATTACCATGATGCCCACACCACTCTCTGTTTGTTTGGGATCGAAGCTTTTATCTTGTGTACACATGAGCAGGCCGAACAGGAACCCCCTCACAAGTCATGATGGAGAAGAAGGGGCTCAGGGCTGATGAAGCATCCAGCTAGTTAATCATTACAGCAGCTCTCACCACACTGTGTGTCAGAGGGGACAGACAGTGAGCCGCCTCAGTGACTTGGTGCTTGAGTGGACAACAATGTCGGTGCAGCGTGTGTGCGTGGCCGACTTTGAAGAAGAAGCCAAGAAAGTTCTTCCTAAAGCTGTGTATGACTACTACCGCTCAGGAGCTGATGAGCAAACCACGCTGGCTGACAATGTCGCTGCCTTTAACAGGTACGCACACACACACACACACACACACACACACACACACACACACACACAC